GAGCCGATCACCAGGACTACACCAGGACTAGACCAGGACTAAACCGAGACTAAACCAGCTCTAAACCAGGACTTAACCAGGTCTAAACCAGGACTAAAACAAGAGCCACCGAGGCGATCACCTCCGCTGATGGTTAAATGTAATACATACACTAAAGTCTCTCTCTCAGCCTGGTCCATTGTTCCTGGAAAAGACCGGAAAAGACATTTATTTCCAGGGCAATGAACGTCCTGGACGGCCGTAAAATTCCAGAACGTTAAAACCTGGAGGTTTCAGCAACTGGCTGAATACTGGGTACCCGACCCAGTGCAGGACTGTGAGTCACTAGATGAGACGTCCAACCCACAACCTTCTTATGCGAGGAGGAGACAGGATAACCACTCTCTAGTTGCAGTAGTAGTAATAGGTGCTGTAGAAGTATGCCTAGTAGTAGTAGTAGTAGTAGTAGTAGTAGTAGTAGTAGTAGCAGCTGTAGTTTGATAGTAGTCACTAGATCAGGAGTCTCACCCACAACCTCCTTATGAGAGGATGAGACAGGATAACCACTGTCTAGTAGCAACAGTAGTAGTAGTAGTATTTGTAGTAGTAGTAGTAGTAGTAGTAGTAGTAGTAGTAGTAGTAGTAGTAGTAGTTGTCATGATAACAAATTCTGAAGCACAATGTATTGCTACAGAGATACAATACTGATAAACAATAATATTGAAACCACTTTATTACAATAATCATGACAATAAATCAGGATAATCCCAGTAAAACATTTTAAAAAGACAGTCTTTAAAACACTTTGAATAACAGAATGAACCAATAATTAGCCATAGCAGTAACTTTTTTCAACCTCACAGCTCAATAGTATCGAGCTCTTGCACTGCACAGGTGTGATTTCAAAAAGGATATATTGCATAGATATTGCATTAACTCTGCAATATCTGGATATCTGGTTTACTTTTCACCTTCTTATATGATCAAGCAATGTAAAAAGTAGTAAAAACAGTATAAGTATTCAATTTCTGTTTCTTTGTGTTTGAACTTTTTGAACTTTACAGTGCCCATATGACTCTATTTTCTGATGTATGTTATAATGTTGCTTCCTCAAACAGGATCTCTGGAGATGTTTGTGAAGAATAGACTTTATTATAAAGTCCTGTGCATGAAACATTTACTGACAGTTTAAATTATGTGAAACTGATAAAATTGTGAAAATATGATGTGATCTAACTACTGTGCAGATGTTGCAGCTATAAAATCACTCACGTAAAAGTAATAAACACACAAAAATAATTAATGAAACTTAAGTTTGTGATTTTATTTTTTTACTATCCACATTTCTAAGCAATCACTTAACATTTAACTTACTCACTGTGTTCAGCAAAACCCATTTGGGATTGTGTCATAATTGCGTCTTAATGAGCTGCTAAATGTTAATCGACAATACAGAAATTTACAGTTTTTGAAGCTGCGATCACTGCCAGTGCCGGATTTGGAGGTGCATGCTGGGATTGCATGACGACAACTGCAGGAGCTCTATACACTTGACATACTCACAGTTTTAATGAGTAAATAAATGCGTTTCATATCAACTTTGCACAAGTAGTGGTTTAACAAAAGGAATGTTGTTAAGATGTATTTGGCTCTTAAAAAACAGTGAGTATTGTGTGCAGTATATCGATTAGCACATGATAATATTGTATCTTGAGCCGTGTATTGTATGGAATCGTGAGGGATTCCCGGTCCTATAGCGTCCTCAACCTGTACAAATGTTATCTTTGCCAAACAGATTTGTCAGCATTCCAAAGGGGGGTACGGGCTCGATGGTGTGATGGGGTGATGTGCATTCCGAGGACGATAAGATTTGCATGGCGAGCAGAAACGGCAGCGATTTGAATGCCGATGGTTAGTATTTCTCAAGGATATTACATATTTTGAACAATTTTGTGGAGCATAACTCAGTGGGAGACTGTTGCTCTGATCTCCCCCTGGGCCTTTATTGGCAAACTTGGAGCTTCAAACAAGAGTCACTGAAAGGTCAAAAAGGACTGTGAGAAGTTTAGGAAAGGATTTGCAGAAAACTCAGAAAAATTTGAAAAAAGTATGGTAGAACTAGTAATGCTACTTGTTTGCCTGGCAAGTTCTGAATGATATATCTCTTTATTTTTATACACAGGGATGTCTGTCTGGTCCCCACGTCCTCCACCGCACCTCGAGCCAGAACCAAACATGATCGTCCAATCAGATTTGCTTTTAATGTGAAATAAAGGAGCCCATCATTTTGAACACAATTTCTCACCTCAGCGTTGTTTGTTTGTTTATTTAAGTGCACAGACTGCTCTTCCTGAGTTCCACTCTTCAAAATAAAAACATTACGCATTGACAATACAATAACAGTGAAGCACAATTAATTGACAATTAATTCATAATAAGAAAACATAACATAATAAATTAATTACTTCATTAGCATTAACCGTGTAGAATTTTTTCAAGTCTAAACATTGATTAACGGTACTTTGCTCACAAATTCTGCAGAAATTTGCTGTTTTACAGTCTCTTGTGATTTATTTTTTAATTTCCTTGTAAAAAGCGATATTTGCTGTGATACAGACATAGGCCCCATGTACACACGTAGTGGTATTTTTTAAAACTGAATGATTTCCCTTCGTTTGTACCCATCTTTTACACACAAACAGTGAATTTACCTCTGAAAATGAATCTTTCTAAAAACTCAGACTAGAGTGGAGATTCAGGAAAACTACAGTTTGGCGTTTGCGTGTAAAGTGAGATCAATGGAGTTTTAGGAGCTGACATGCCACAAGTGTGACCAGTGTTTCCCTTTTGCTCTGATGATGATGACTATGAAGCATTCAGAGCAGCAGTCGCACTAAAAGCAGCTCTCTGATTGGCTGTGTTGAAGCAGTCCACCCTAGTTTCATTTTATTGTCCAAAAAAAGCTGTTCTAAAAGTTGCTTAAGGGTTTGTGAGAGCCATGGACAAGTCAGACCGATTTAAATACCTCCTCATTCTGTCATTCTGCGGTCTGGAATTCCTCATCCCACTTTGCTCCTTTTAACTGTCCAATTACAGAAGTACAATCTCATTTGCATATCCTGGCCTCTCCACACTAGAACTTTCTCTTGCAAGATACAAAAAGCAGTGGAAATAATGCTGCAACTTGCACTGCTCCCAATGAGGTGAAGGAGCAAAATCCTAAAGAACCAGTGTGGCACATTTGTAAGACTCAAGATCACTGCTGTGGAGGCTTTGTTCTGTAATTTGGGAATGATCTTTGCAGTGTGACGACAGATGGTCATTATAAGTTCTAAAGTACTACATGAAACACACGAGAAGTCATTTTGCACAAGTATTTCTGAAGACCGAGGCAAGAAATATGGCAGGGAAATGCATGTACTCAAAACATAACGAGCAAATAGAAGCCGGATTTCCTAACTCTCGAACCGTTAAAGAAGGAAGTAGGTGTTTAAATTTACAATATTACGCAAAATTGACTCGTGAGCTTTAAAGATGCACTGCTTAACCTTTGTAGTGGAAATTCTGCCACCTGCTTGTCTCCAAGGAAATGTTACTGCTTTGTCAGATGGTTTTATTGCTCAAAAATACCTAAATAAAAAATAGGCATTCTGACTAGGGATGGGCATTCGATTAAATTGTCTTAATCAATCGTCTGGAGAATTAACGATCAATTACCGATTAGTCATTAACGTTTTTATATTAAAATTATCATCATTATTATTACTATCTGCTCTACTAATCTGCATAAATAAATTCAACTTTTTCGACATATAAACCGTAACCACTCTAGAGCCACATCAGCCCGTTTGACATTATAATGTGTTTAATGCAGCTTTGCGCAAGTCTCACAGAAACAAAACTTAAAACCTCATGGCTAATTTGCATAAACAAAACTAAGAAAAAAAATGCTCTTGTGCGCTGATGCGTTCAACTTCTGTCGGACTTAAGGACACGACTCAGTGGAATATAGGTTAGGGTGGCCATATTTGCATTTGTCAAAACCAGGACACCGTACGGGCGGGTGGGAGCTGGAGCCTCCTCATCGACATTGAGCTACTCTCACCTGCCAAAGCTTTTTAATATTTTTCAGTGTCCTGGTGAGCTCTGAGGTCCCTGGCACTGCCGCTGGACACCCAAACATATGTGCCTACTTTGTACACTGTGCACATGGCCTCCCACTTGTCTCGACCGGGACGGAAAGCGGGGAATTTCTTATACAAGTCATCGTTAAATGCACATTTGTGCTTCGGTATGTTGCAGGCTGAACGACTGTTTCTGCTCGCTCCTTCTGAGTCACAGAGAACTACGAGAGACACTCAGTTTAATAGCCCAATGAAAGGTAATGAAAACCCGAATATTTGCATCACTTTATAAAAAAAAAAAACCCAGACAGCCAGGACAGGACGTGGAAAACGGACATGTCCGGGGAAAAAAACATGTAGAATCCCTCGGTCATTCAGGTAAATCCCATGGCAAAAGGAGAAATTAAATTTGTCAACTGCACTGGCCTTCAGTGTAATTAATGTGTAAATTCTCCCTTTAGACAGACATAAGGAAGTGTCCACCAGTGTCTGAGCAGAGCTGAAGAAGCAGCTTGGATGAGCTGCGAAACGTATTCAACCAAAATAAACTAGTTATATCAGCCATATATCCCATCAGACATAAGGTTAAGTGTGATGTCACTTCCTGGTCTTAGGCAGCCATTATGGCAAAGCTAGAAATACTAGAAATAACTAGCTGGACCCAGACGTGACACCATCACTAACCAGCTTAACTTTATTGATAGCTCACATTCACATCACGCTGGGGGTGTCTGTAGTGGAATGTTCAGCAGTTACCATGGCGACACAATACACACATTAGCAAACACTGCAAAAAAAGATCATTTGAAAAAATAAAAATAAAAAAAATCCAAGAAATAGTTCTTTATTATAGCTATTATAAAAATCTCCACTGTAAAAAACATAAAACAGAATATGTCATGAGGGGGTATTGCTTTATTCCCTGAAAAAACATTAACATGTTTTATTAGTTTCACTTTACTTTTTGACACTCTGACTCTCCCCTGTCTTTGCCCCCGTGTCAAGTCACTCCACCTTCAGTGCTTCACATCGTATCAGGTTTGTCAAGCTGTTGCATAGAGTTTTTTGTTTTGTTTTTTTAATCATGTTTTTAATGGAGAATTGTCATGTGGGAACATGGGTGTCGTGGGCTTGTGGACTGAGCATTGCACAGAATCTTACAGCTAAAGTAAGATTGCTTATCTATAAAAAAAAAACACACAAAAATGCATGGATGACATCTAAAACCTCTTCAGGCATGTTTTTGATGAGGGAACACCCTCATATACATATATATATATACATATCATAGTACAAAGTCGATTTTGTATAGAGCCACCTCTTTAGTAAAATAGAGACACCAGGGATTTTAAAACAAATATACATACAATGAAAAAAGTAAGATACACACACCAACCGCAAACAGAACCTCCTTTGGACTGTTTTTTTGGCTGCTTCAGCAGGTGTTTCTTCAGGTTAGCATCCGTCAGGTGAGGCAGGAGATGGCTCTGACAGTACGATTGCTTACAGGTTATACACGACAGTACCGCTCCAAGTTTTGGCTGTAGACACACATCACAGCTCACCCTTTCTGGAGCTATGAAGACTACACTGACTGTCCCATTTGGAGGATTTGAGCTCACCCTGCTCCCCTCTCTGTTTTCCATTTCAGCTTCACTGATCATCCCAGCCAGGACGATGTTGACGTTTAACTCTGGTCTTGAGCTGAAGTTCTGCTTGCAGAGTGGGCAGTTGTATCGGTAGCTGTCCCAGTGTTGGGTGATGCAGGCCCTGCAGAAGCTGTGTCCGCACGGTGTAGTGACTGGATCAGTGAAGACTTCCAGACAGATGGAGCACACAAACTGATCCATGGAGACTGTGCAGTTCTGAGCAGACACACCTATGACAGGAGGACAGAGAACATAAGTACACTTTGTATTTTTTCGTTTGAGTGTAAAGGTCCTACACAAAATGGATTCTTGTGAGCTCTAGGTGTGTAACTTTTGGTGAAGGGTCTGTCATCAGTTTCTCTCCATGGAAATGTTGCCTAGAATGTTCCACAGTATGGCATTACACATATTTATCTCTATGGAGACAGCAGGTGACGCCATAGGGCCAAGTTACATGTCAGATCTATGTAGAGGCGAGCCCACTCACAGTAAGAATACAAGTCAGTAAAAACACTTCACTGACTAAATGCAAGATGGATACATTTAATGCTGCGTTGGGACATTCCAGACAAAGCAACAACATCTGCACACAGAGCACGTTTAAGCCAGGTTAGAGTTGGAGTTGTGTTTTGTTTCAGTCACATATGTATGAGTAATCCTTTATTATTAATCTGCATCTCTAAAGCTCGAAATGCTTTGTTCCACCTTGTGATGTCATGTAGTGGCAGTTTCAAGTTAACAGTTATCTTTTTTCAGTAGAAATGTGAAAAAAAAAGAAATAAAATCTCCATGTATGTTTTTGAAAACTAAACAACATTATGACACAGGTCAGAAAATAGCATAGTATGGACCCCGTAAAGGTAAATAAAGGAATCTGATTCCTCTGGAAGTTCACACATCACTGTGATTAGCTGAAGGACACTTTAAATATTATTCCCTCATCAAAGACATACCTAGAGTTGTATTTATCTTAATTCATGCTGGTTTCAGTAATCCCCGCTAGAAAGTTCTTTGCCTCTGCCCTCAGAGGTACAAACTTGGCACAGTTTTAAAGTCCATAAATCATCAATAGACCTGTTTTAAGCATATCATTTTATTTAGATCTAATTAAAGGTACACTCTTCAGGAAAAGAAACCTTGGACAAAAGAGTTCTAGAGTTCAGATTTGAAAAAACATCTCTTGGATGAGCAGGGAAATGTCTTCACTCTAAAACTTTTGTCCATTAGAGAGAAATTAATTTTGTTTTGAAAGTTTGAGTGAGATAATCATGAAGGAATACCATTACAACATGGTTTCAAGCTTATATAAGTTGATTTCACATATTTACATATTACCTATTTAAAAGTTCTATATTTATTTACTTTTTAACTTATTTACTTCTGTGAGCTTTTTGCCGTGTTATAATGTTGGTACTTCATCAAAAACAGACCTGGAGTTGTGTTTTGTTTCATTCACACATTTGAGTAACCCTGCATTTTTAGTCTGTCTACATCTACAAAGCTTAAAATGTTCTGTTCCATCTTGTGATGTCATGTAGCAGTAGTTTTCAAGTTCAACAGCTCTCTTTTAACTTCATGTCAGTAGAGATAGTCAATTCCAGAGCTGAAACTATCCAAATTATTCTAGTGAAGATGCATGGTGTTTAAAAACACAGCGGAGCTCTTCCAGCATTACCACATGACATCATAAGGTGGAACAGAAGAAGAATAAGAGAAAAACAGCCTAAATATGCCGGGTTTGTGAGTTAAACATATGTGAATGAAACAAAACACAACTCCGAGTACGTTTTTGATGAGGAAATAACATAGATCAGAAATGGAGTAATATTTTTAATATTCTTTAAAACTCACAAAAGGAACATAAGTCTAACACTAACCAGATATATAGAGAATCTTTTTTTTTTACTTACCAGAGGCCATAGCTTGCGTTTCTAAGTCAGAACTTTGAGTGACTCTCTTTCTCAGATTTGTGTGAAGCTCCAGGTGCAGGCTCCGCCCCTAAGCCACTTCCTGGTTCCATGTCAGTGTTGTGGCTTGTGTGGGAGATCTCAAATGTGATGTGAACATTACAAACATTCAGAGCAGCCAAACGTTGCAAGTAAAAGTATCACAGAAGTACAATGTAGTGAGCCAAAAAAATCACTCAAGTAAAAATGTATTTGGGGAAACTACAAGTGAGTTAAAGGCTCAACTTTTCTGTTGCAGGGTCCATGAAATGCTTTCCTCCATGGAGACATTATTGCTTTGGCTGGGATGTTTCACAGTATGGCATTAAACCTTTCTATCTTCATGGAGACCAAACTAGACCAAATTACAGGTCAGATCTGTGGAGAGGCCACCCTGCTCACAGTCAAAATGCATGTTTTTCTAGGTATTTTTGAGCTATAAAACCATCTGTAATTGAATGAATGTAAAGCAGGGTTGTTAAATGTTATACTGTGGAACATTCCAGGCTGAGCAATGACATCTCCATAGAAACAAGCAGGTGATGGACCCCAAACAAACAAACAAACAAACAAACAAACAAAAAGAACACAATTTAACTGGGTTGCACAGAGTGAGGGGGCCTATTTATAACTCACCACAGTCTTTTAAACGGTCAGTCCCTGATTTTTTCTTGAAATATAGTCAAATATGTCTTGCCCCAGTACTGACATATTGTAAAAGCAGCTGTTGAGTTGTTATTGATTAGTCGACTAATCATGCCCATCCCTAGTTATTACTGTAATTTGTCTTTTAAGATGAATCGTCACTTCCTGGTCTCAGATTTTATAAATTTCCCTCAAAACTGTGACTTATAGTCCGGTGCAACTTATATATGTTTTTTTCTTCTTCAGTACGCATTTTTTGGCTGGTGCGACTTATAGTCTGTAAAATACGGTACATGTAGTTGGTGACATCACACATGACTGCTCTGATTACAGCCATGTCAGACCAATCACACTGTTTTTTTAAGTCTCCAGACCCAGCGCCTTCTCCCCTCTCACTCTCTTCCTCCAGTCCTCCAGGCACTGCCCAGTTCAGCAACTCAGTTTGAAATGTGACTGTGGGCAGAGTTTATGTGTTTAGTCCCACATAGTTCCATGTAAATCCAGCATAAGGGAAAACAAAGAAAACCCCTGCTTAGTAAATTACATTTATTGTGACTGTTTTAACATGTTTTGCTCTGTGTAATTTCCCCATCACAGGTAGTTTTTTGTGTACTGCTGCTACTGTTTAATCAAATAGATGACAGCTTGTTTACTTTATGCAGCTGTTATGCAACTTTGAGTCATGATATAAATATTGATTTGTTGGCTTAATGCATTCACAGAGTTTAAGCTGCATAAAAATTCTGACTTACATTTGACTGAAAATAGCAAGTTGTGAGAGAAATTGGTACATAAAAGCAAATGCATAGTGTTTAATGGCTCTGCAGCATAAGTGAACCTGTCCTTCAGCTGCTGTATTTCTAATGCTGACTATAATTGAATGTATAAAAAGTGCAGAGAGAGAGAGAGACAGGAGTGAGCAGAATCTGGTCTTTTAAGAGGAGAGTTTCAGTGACCTTACCGAACTTTCAAACACTCTACATAATAATGAATATGTCCTCGGAGAACAGGCGGCAAACTCCAGACTGCAGTAGGTTGCACGGTACAGGCCAGGTAACAGGAGGCACAGGTCCCACTGGGTTAATTACGAGAAGCTACAAAAATTCAAAAAAGGTTGTATTAGCTGTCTATCTATTATGCAAAAGTGACTTTAAATGTTATGATGCTGTTACCTCCTCAAAAACATACCTGGAGTTGTGTTTTGTTTCATTTAGACATGTTTGAGTGATCCTTTTATTATTAGTCTGTTTACATCTCCAAAGGTCAGAATGCTGTGTTCCACCTTATGATGTCACGAAGCAGTAGTTTTCAAGTTAACAGCTAACTATTACTTTACATTTTTGTGAAGAGTTTGTGAAGTAAAGTAAAGTAAAGTAAAGCTTGTGAAGCAGAAACAACATTACTTTTTGCTCAATAGAGATTGGCAATTCCAGGGCTGAAATCCCTGTATAGAGTTTAAAAACGCAGTGGAGCACTTAGTATTTCCACATGACATCACAAGGTGGTGAGTGTGTTTTCAGTTTGAGAGAAAAACAAAAAAAACTAATAAATATGCAAGGTTTGTGTTTAAAATGTGTGAATGAAACAAAATACAACTACGATGAGGAAACTATGGATGCCCATTTCTGCCAGTAAATAAAAAATAAAAGCCTCACAGAAACTCATGACATTTAAACTCGTAATTATGACTTTAAATTCATAATTATGACTTTAATACTCGTAATTATGACCTTTAAACTCGTAATTATGATTTTTAAACTTGTAACTATGACTTTTAAACTCATAATTATGACTTTTATACTCATAATTATGACCTTTAAACTTGTAATTATGACATAGGAAACTATGATCTATATTATAATAATAATATAGATCTGAAAATAGTTTAATATGGAGCCTTTAGATGTTGGAGCCCTATTCACAATTTGTTCTTTTTTTCATTCTCTTAATATTCATAAGTCATAGAAAGGAAAGTAAAGAGAAAGAAAGTTACTTCATTGTCTCCATAAAGAAATTTCTCCTGCATTTGACCCATCCTTCAATGCCGCTGGGGTATCTCCTCAGGAGCAGTAGGCAGGGCATGGTGCGCCCAAAGACCCATCTCCGAGATCTGCTTGCTAGGCTTGGTCAGGAACTACTTTAGCTGGAGATTGTGCCTATGCTGCTGATTTTCGGTTGATATTGGAGACCAAAGTGCCCAGAGAAAACCCACCCAGAGACAAGGAGAGCATGGAGACCCGGAACCTTTTTCACAGCTTCTTCTTAGCTGCCCTGTGGTAGACTAAGTATTGCAGTATTTTATTTTATTTTTTTATCACAGAGCATTACACACACTTTACTGTTCACTGGTTTTACCATATTTAATATACTGTGCAGAAATTTGGGACAATAACTATATAAACACAATAGACCCAGTGATGAAACTTCAAAAAAGAGCAATAAGAATTATTTATAATGTCAAATTTTATGACCACACTAATCCACTGTTTATTCAGGCCAAATTACTCAAACTGAATCATCTGATTATGTACCAAACTGCAAAAGTAATGTACAAAGCTAAAAATAAGCACTTACCAAAAAATATCCAACTACTTTTTTGTGAAAGGGAAGGAAATTATAACTTAAGAGGCTTTTAAAATTTTAAAGTGCCTTGTGCTTGAATGACATAGAAGAGTTTTTGTATCTCTGTTTGTGGTGTAAAATTATGGAACAACATGGAACAAATATACATGTATTCAAAAGTGCAGTTAAAAAAGGGATTATTTCAATGCTAAAGAATTTAGTGCTTAGTGAAATTAGTGCTTAATGCATATATATATATATATATATATATATATATATATATATATATATATATATATATATATATATATATATACATACATATATATATATATATATATATATATATATATATATATATATATATATATATATATATATATATATATATAAAACGTTTAGATGAGCATATGTGTGTGGGTACATATATATATGTATGCATGTAGGTATGTATGTATTATACCTGTGTATATGATATATATTATCACTGTGTACATAATATACATATATTTGTTGTTGCTGTTGTTGGATTTATACTGAAATGCAGGTACTGTGAATTATAGCTTATAATGTACTGGAAATGAGAAGTCTATATGTTCTTAGTTAATCTGGGACAGGAGAAAAAAGGGGTGGGATTAAATAAGTATTTACTTCCTCCCACTCCTTTTTTGGACACAAGTAAAAGCTGCGTGACATTTATTTTCGCTTATTATTACAGAAAAGAAATATTTACTTTATGTGTTATATCTAAGTATTTATGTTCTCTATGCATGTTCTATGTATTACTGTCTGAGTAAACGTTCATTCATTCATTCATTCAAAAACAAGCCTACCAAGCCTGCCAATCTACACTATCAGCTCCTCCAGTCACCACCAGTCCCTCACTCACACACATGAAAGGCCACATTATAAATACATACATAACCAGTTGACTTGACTCTAGGATAGAACTGGGCCTTGTCCTGCTCCCAGGTCACATACGACCCTTTGGTTGACTCTGACCGATCTGTTTAAGATCATTTGGAATTACAAAATAAACATATTTTATAATTTTACCTCATGCATGGACTAAAGCGGCATTGCTTTTATTTTAGAGGTGTTTTTTGTTTTTTTTTAAATGACATGTTTGTAAGATAACCTCACTTTTTCATTGCTTAGTCATAACATTTACTCTTACCAGTCTTACCAGCTTGTCTAAACACTGTTATTTACTGCTTTTTATAAAGAAATACAATTGATATTATTCAGAATTGAGTTGAGCAGCATTTTGGCCCGGCCCTCCACAATATTTTATGTTTCTCATATGGCCCCATGGAAAAAATAATTGCCCACACTTGCTCTATGGTCTATGTGCAACACTCGATGAAAAGCACCAAATATATTCACAAATGTTTTCTACGGGAGTCAAGCAACACTATAATAAAATAAAATAAAATAAAATACTCTTGCACAGTCTGAGCAGTGGATGGAGAGTGAGAAGAAAATGTTAATATACGATGAGAGGACAAGAGATTTGGAATGGCTGATGACTCCATTGTGAACGATACCTCAATTAGCATAAAATTACAATGTTGAAGGGCTGCGGCTGCTTGAGGGATTGACTCAGATCATCTTAATCTCAAAGTAGCCGCAAATCTGATGAAGTTTAATGATTCTACTGGGCCCCAAGCCGAGCGTTTAAGTTCCAATGACACACTGGGGAATCCACGCCAGCCCTCTCTGCTATACTAATACAAGTCCAGCATCTTAACAGGTCTGTGGGCACGATGGGCATCCCAGCAGAAATATGTCCAGAGACCTCCTAGAAGTTATTATAGAACCTTTAAGGGT